CCTGGCCTGTCAGTCTTGCAATCACCGGGAGTGGTGCATTTCTTCTCGGTGTGGTACACTCCATCTTTGCCGCACAGCTGAAGGGCATATGCGTCAGAATCGCACTTCCTATCTCCCGGCACGCATAGCTCTGGTACTACGGAGGGGAAAGGCAGTTCTACCCAGCATTGCGCGACATCGTCACGCTTGACGCACTTGGACGGATTGGGACACATTGTCGGTTTCCAGCTGTTCTGTTCGCACAATTGAAGAACATTGCCCAAGCAGCGAGATTCGCCAGTCCTACACCACTCAGGTATTCCCGTGGGAGAACGTAGAATGAGAAGTGTGGACGCAACGATCAGTTGACAACGAGCATCGTTGTATTCTACGCGACACTCTTCAGTATCGCTACAGCTTTCGATTTTGACCCAAGCGCTTTCGGTACTACACATCTCAACTTGTTTTCCGCTGCATCGCCTCTCGCCAGCAGTGATGCAATGCTCGAAAACACTTGGGGTACCTTTAGAGATGTATGACCTTGATTCAAGGTTTTTCGAAGGAGAACGTGTAGGCGGCATGTCGTTGATGAAGGGAGCCCGAGCAATGACCCGGTGTGAAGATCGTAGGCACGGTTCGACAACACAATCTTGCTCAGTACATTGGCCGGGAGTGTTGGGGTCATGGGCATCGATCGTGCAGAACTCAGTGTCGCTACATGCTTGGATAGGCACATAGTTGCCCAAAGGATCACATTCTTCCACATTGTTGTCATGACAGCGCTGAGTACCTGTCTTACACGGAGTCTCTGGAAGTAGGATTCTAACAGAGAAAACTGTTGGCAGAATGGTGACAACAGTCACGAGAATATCGAGGATTCGCATCTCTGGTGAACGTGTTCAACGAGGGGGGATTGGTAACGAGTAAAAGTTGGCAGTAAAAAGGCCAGAAAGAAGGGTGTGCAAATGGAGCTTGCTGTTCGAGAGAGCGCACTGATATAATCAAGGAGAAACGGAGAGAACGGAGAGAATGGATGGCGGTGTAAGGGTGAGCGTTTGTTGAGGCAGGTGATAGGTGGGTCTTAGGTTATAGGGAAAGAGCTCCTCAAAGACAATCAACGCCCAGATTATGACTCGATTAGGCTCATTAAGTTTCCAAATGCTGCCTATTAGGAAAGTTAGCATTTGAATCACACCATGCAGGTTCCCGCGCGAAACATGATTGTGCAGTTGTGCCACATCGTAACTCATATATTTGAAGTGTTTGTCGGCCTGCGACCTTTCTGTTGGGAGAACTCCGCCTAGCGCCTTGCATAAAGCTGATGTCATGTTGTAGGGAATTATACTAAGAGTTATAGCAGTCTGGCCTCTCAACTTTAGCCACTGCATGTTTTTCGGCCAGGTGTTGGCCCGCATGAACGCCTTTAGTCGAGCTTCAGACAATGTCAGCCTCTTATTTCGGGCCTGTGCCATAACCAGCATCGTTCTTGGGGTCCTCTGCCAACAACTCTGCGCTGTATACACGCTTGTAGTCCTGCTCACTCCAGCCCTGTTGTTGAGCGAGACCGCTTAGGCTCAGGCCTCGTGACCTAGTTTTCTTGATCGAATCTCCCTGCGGGGCACCGACGGGTGTTGATCCGTAGTTAAGCGGTACTACTCCCTGGCCGGGGGGTGGGAAGGGGGTTGTGCCTGAAGGCGACGCGACTGTCTGGCCAGCAGTGACGTTCTCGGGTGTTTCAGAGTCAGCAGAGAAGTCTGACGAGACGGATGCTTGTTGCGCTCGCTTCAGTGCGTTCTCGTAGTTGGCTGAGCTTGCTCTAGCCATACCGGGTCGGCGGTAGCCAGTGTAAGCCCTAACAGCTTCGGTTGGCCCATTCTCTGTGGTTCTCTCGTTTCCTCCACCAGCGCCCATCAGCGGCAGTAGACGTGGGTCGGGAGCTGCTGAGTCGGTCTGTGAGACGCTATTGGAAGTGAAGGCAGCTTCGGCTTCGGAACGTGTATTGGGTGTGAGGCCAGATGGGGTAAAGGCGCCCGATGAAAGGAAGGAGCCTTCGGTGGGCGGCATGAGAGATGGTCGTGGGCTCATAATGAAGATGGTGTATCACTGCGAGGTCTTGGTGTAAGCTGGCAGATTCCGCCCATTGGCTGCGCGCATGAACGTACGTGAAATGTGTACACTAAACTTTGGAAGATCTGGTAGCGCGTATCGCGACGGTAGTGTGATTGGTGGGTATTGCTTCCCTGTTCGTTGGACAGTTAGCAGAGTGGTTCCCCGAAGGACCGCAGAGGCACCGTACCGAACGCTCAGGGTTCTTGGATATGCAGGTGTAGTAAGAGAATCGTAATTCTTCGTTGCCGCCTCCCTTAAGCGACTGCTATCTATTTGAACAATAGCGGCTGATGCTATGCCATCATACCTTGGCGGGTGACGTCTTTTCAGGGTCCAGACTTGCGGGGCCCCTAACCGTACAGGGCAGCCGTCCGCGCTGCTCAATCAACGATGCTGTCGATTGCAACCAGCCGCGAGGGTTTTGCTGATCGCTTACCTACTTGATGTGGAGTGGCCTTTGTGCAATAGGCGGGAATGGTCCGGTTGCAAGCTCTGAGCGGAGAGAAGACGTGCACCATGCATGTCACGGTGCGTCAGGGCGTTGTTGACTTTCGGAACACGGGACATGGGTGAGTATTGATTCTATTAACCTCAACTGAATATCCACCCGCTATCTACCTACTCCCATTACTTTGAGATCGAAACCCTAAACCCTTGATGTGTTTAAACATTAACTAAGATACAGCATACGACCACTGTGCCGAGTAGCATAATCTTGCCCTCAAAATATCAGGACCGTCATGACGAAACTGCGAAGCCATGAGACAGTATCTAAGATGATGTCAGCGAGGAACTTAGCCAGCAACTGAGTCGAAATCCTTTAACATACAGCAGTACTTTGACCACAAAATCGTTCAACAAATGTTGACCTAAAGGTTGGAGTGGCAAACACCAACGGCCGACTCGACGGTAGCAGTAGCCTTGGAACTGCACGCGACGAGTTCAGAAATAGCAACCGAGACATCAATGCCGACCTTGGCTCCAATAATGGGGAGATCAATGTCGACGTTGGCTTCGATGGCGGCGAAATCAATACCAGCGCAAGTAGCGATAGCACCGAAACCTGTGAATCGAGCGGCAGTGACGCAAGTACCGCACGCCGCGTTTTGGGAGCAACCTGATCTGGCTGAATCTATGCGGGCATCGAGGGAGATCAGAAGTTGGCGTTCAACGCGACGAACGGATTCAAAAGCGTCAGTGACCTCGACTTTGTTGGTTACGACTGCCGGTGCAAGCTGGCGGCGTGCGGTCTCCGGAGCGATCATAGCAGAGAGCTCGACCGAGATGTCAGTGAAGACAATTTGTTTAATTGGAGCAGGCCAAGCTTCGACGACTCCAACAGGCTGCTGAAGGATAGCGGTCCAGTCTTCGACCTTGATTGTGGCAAAGTCGTCAGTGTTGAGTAGGTTGACTATCGCATTGGTTGGAACGTCGCATTGCTCGGCAAGGTCCTCAATTCGTACCGCCCCCACGGAGACGTCAACGTCGACATCGATATCGGCGGATGCGTCGATGTTGGCGGATGCGTCGATGTTGGCAGATGCGTCGACGTTGGCAGATGCGCCGATGTTGACAGATGCGTCGATGCTGGCAGATGCATTAACGCTAACAGCTGTTGCCATACTGGCAGTAGCCAGAAGCAGAATCTTGACAAATGAAGCAGTCATTGTGACTTGAATTAGTTAACGAGCGTTGTAATTAGGGTAAGGAGTGAAAAGGGTGGGTGAGATGCTTGAAAGAGAGTAGTAGTGAGATAGTGTTTAAAAGGTATGCGCTTCTCTCACCTTTTATAAGTCTCACGGCTTCACCAAACATAACTCGCCGTCCTCCGTGACTATCAGAACACAGCGTTCGATGTCGGGCCTGGAGTGAGTAATTTGCGACATAGTGCTAACCATCTCACAGAAATTCGTTCTATTGAGATCAAGATACGATGTCAGCAATGGTGAGAGCATACCAAGCCTACAATCATTGCCCAAGGAAGTAACAGCATCAGCCCTAAGGACGGAACGACTCATGTTCTCTCCGAAAGTGGCTCACTCCAGACAAAAGCAGATTTATCAAGCAATGGCATTCAGGCACCAAGCGAACAGACGATGCCAGAAGAGGCAATTGAATTGACCCCAAGGACTTGGACCACTAACCCGAAGGGCAAATAAACACCATACGTCAGCGACGGGTATGGTCTAGTCTCCCCTGACTGCCTCAAACGCTCCAGAACAGATCAGCCCAGTTGCCCACGTCAGGGGCGGCCCGAACAGACCGGTCCGATAACTCCGACCTATCCGTACAACTGGATCAGTTCGTCCGTCTAGATCTGTCAGACTGTCTAGGCCGGGCCGATCACGGCCTTGAGAAGTTTCCAAACCACATTGCTCCTATCTCTGCCAAGCATGCGACGTCGTACTTCACATCTTATATCTGCCATAGTATATCTGTATATCTGTGGTTGGATTCAACTAGTCTCATCTAACCTCTTTCTAGCTTGGTCAAGGTCTTCTTGTCACATTCTCAGCATTCTCGGCTTCATTTGCTCCAATTAGTCCTCGTCGTATTCGGTGAAAGGAACTCCAACGTCAGCATCTCATGCCTGTACGGTTTTAAGTAGGGTACCTGAGTAGTTCTTGAATGGGCTCAGGCTAATCAGCTCTTGGTCAAGTAAGCAACTAGCACCAAACCTTCTTTATGGATCGGTCGACGACACATCAGGAGCGATTGTTGTATTTCACTATCTATGGTAGGGAGCGACTATGATACCGGTAATGACTGGCTGAATAAGATATGAAAGATTACAATTTGGTAAGACACAAAGAGATCCGACATCCCAACAACCACTCTTAATGCGACAACGATCATTCTCAAGGTTACAGACCAAGCTGTGCGCGTCCAGTATCGAAGAAGGATATTCGAGTCTACAGGACCATCTTGTGGCCTTGGCGTATATGATCACGAAGTTTGTCCAGGCGGTAAAACTTCATGTCACAGTCATCGACAATGCACTTTAGTATAGGGTCTTGATGCTTCCGCACGTGGCGGCGGTAATCGCCAGGGCGGCGGAAGGTCTTGGTGCAGCCATCAACGGTGCAGCTGATGCGCGTCTCGGCAGTGCGGTGACGAGCGCTGGCACGTGCACCAGAAGGCTGGTTGGGTGGTGCAGCCACGTTCATCTGCGCAGCAGTAGCTGGAACGATGGGTTGGAAAACACGACCCGTTCCTGCTGCAGGGTACGAAGGCTGAGTCGGAAAAAAGTTGAGCTGCGGAGGCAGAGGCATCAAGAAGGTGTCACCCATGGGGGGAGCAACGGAATCATCGAAGGTCCAGTTGCCAAGTGCACTAGCATCTTCGGTGTATGCGTAAAAATCGCCGTTGGTGTTGTATATATCCAAAGGCCCAAGGAATTCTTGAGCAAGAGCCTCGTGCACAGAAGAGGTGCCAAGTTGTTGCGGGTACGCATGGCCCGAGCGCAGGTCTGTTGGCGCTACCAATACGGAAGATGGCTCAGGGTTTTTGCCCTCCGACGAAAAGGCATAACTGCATGGTGTTAAAAAAAATTACCTCTGATTGGCTGCACCACCGAATGTCTGTGCGCTCGCGGCTGCCGTTGACGTAGCTAGCTGAAACTCCTGCCAGCTGTAGGCGATTTGTCTACCTTCGTCGAAGAACTCCATATCGGGGTTGATATTGTCGCGCGATTCCGTAGGAGATGATTGCTGATGCTGGTAGTTCATGGTAACGAGGTATTTTCGTGAGTGGAATGACAAAGCCGTGGAGGAAGGCGCAAGCAGTGCACAATGGCTGGTTCGTGTAGGCGACGATGGTCGTCAAAGCGACAAACAGAAGCTGTGGATAAGAGGGAGTAGGTAGGAAGAGTCAGGAAGAAACTCGGATGAATAGCGCTAGGTACACACATAACGAAAGGAAACATGGTGCAGTTAAAGGGCGGCCAATCGCGCAACGCTGTTACGAAGGGCGCCTGTTCGCCGAATGATTGGTTGATATCCGTAAGCCTCAACCTGCACACCTTCAAAAGGTTTCATCCAAGGCTGTAGCTTTCGATGTGAATAGACATCTACGGGCTACACACAGAATTGATCTTCCGACTACCTAGGTATGGACTGGAGCGAAGTCTTTCGTTGCGATCAATGCTGTAAAGCTTTCAACACTTTAGGCCGCTACAAGTAAGCTTACAATCCACCAGCACCCTGCTCTTCTATTAAACGCTAATATAAAAACAGTCAGCATTTGAAGACGCACTCAAAGCCATTCCAATGCGGCGAATGCACTAGGAGCTTTGCCCTGCGTTCTGATCTTACTAGACATGTGCAGGCACGGCACCGACTTGGCGTAGCTCGACATGCATGCCCCGTCGTGGGCTGTCCATTTCGTGCTTCTCGCAAGGACAATATCCGTCAGCATCTCCAGAAAAGTCATCCGCAGGTTCATCTAGGTCCTAAAACATCTAAATTAAGTCGCCGCCGAGCAGGGCCTGAGACCACCTGTTCATCAATTACACTTCGAGAATCACCAAGCACTCAAGGCGACGTGTCGTTGGCGAATACCTCGACCTTGATGCAAGCCGCATTTGCAGGCAACATTGGTCTTATGAGAGTCATCATCCAACTAGGCATCAACGTCTCTACACAAGCTGATGATGGTTCTACTGCTTTACATTGCGCTGCCAGGGCCAACCAGATCGAGATGATACACCTTCTCATTGCCTTGGGAGCCCATTCAAATGTTCGAAACGATAAAGGAAGGACACTCCTACACGAGGCTGTATCCGGTCGTTGTATACCCGCGTTCAGTGTCCTTGTGGAGAGAACAGCGGATATCACGAGACAGGTCCTCTGCGAAACGATAGAGACAGGACAGCATGAACTTTTCCAGCAAGCTTGGGAAAACTGCCACAAGGAGATGCTTGGGACTATCCGCCGCAGTCTTTTCGATGTTGCAGCAAGCTCCACCCAGACAGCGACTATGGCTACACTACTGTTGCTACCTGATATCACACCAGAGTGGATTTTCAGCGACATGACTTCCACCATACGCCGGATCGTCCTGAAAGAGCAAATAGCTATGCTGGAATGTTTACTAGAATCTACGAAGTTAGATCCTATCATCAACAAACCTATCGGCAATGGGAGTTCTGGCAGTCTAATTCACTTTGCCGCCGCCCATGGGCACGCTGAGGTTGTTGGACTTCTTCTCAAGTACGGAAACATCGACCCAAATCTGGCACCAAAGCGGTATGGATTCATATATGAACTCTCACCTATCAATATTGCAGCTTCGCGTGGTCACTTCGAAACTGTGGAAAAGCTCCTTGGACACCCTGGTATCATTCTGAACACCAAGACTGGGTGGACAAATGGTACGACAAACCCTCTGCTTCTTGCTTCGCGAAAGGGGCACGTGGAGATCGTACGATTGATGCTCAAAACCTTCGACCAACGGGGACTTGGTGTGGATGATACCAGCGGATCCTCTTACAAAAGAACGCCATTGCAAGGCGCCGTGTTCTATGGACATACGGACGTCGTAAAGCTCTTGCTGCTTCGGCAGGATATCGATGTAAACCCGTCCCTTGGAAAGTCAGGCTTGAGCACGTGCCAAATAGCAGCACGGCATGACCATGCTCAAACCTTGGGTGTGCTGCTCGAGGATTCCAGGACTGATCTAAGCAATACAAAGAATGGCCGAGTTTCATTGCTGTTCGAAGCCGCCATGGAAGTACGTTGGTCTTTAGTTGAAGTCCTGCTCGATTATGACGAAGCCTCTCCGCAAGATACGGTACGTAAACTCTCCACCCGAACAAACATCGTAGGAAACCGTATCGATATCCTGGAGAATCTCCTAGTCGATGAAGGATTCCGTGAACACTGCACGAAACAAGGAAGAGCGAATCTCTGGCTAGTGGCCGCAAGAACCAATAATCTAGCACTCGCGATGCTCCTCCTTGAACACACTCAGAGGAACAAAGGAATGCACCATCCTGCTACGGATGTCAATCGTAGAGATAGCACGGGTGATGCACCACTACATGTTGCGGTACTATCTGCAAGGATTGGTGTTGTAGAGCTCCTGCTTCACCACAAGGATATCGACATCAATATCATCTCGAAAGGACGGCGTGGGGACTCTGCCGTACAGAGGGCAATAGAGTACACCAAGTACAGCTGGAAGCCTAAGGAAGCTCTCTCTTACATAATAGATCTTCTTTTAGCCCATGGTGCTCAGGGCGCATCGCGCAAACGAAACGACGACACGAACAACCTCGTTGTCCCGCCCTTGCTCGCCCGAGCGGAGGACTCAAACAATCTCGTACTGCCATCCTTATCCGGGTGTGCGGAGCACCAAGACTCTCGTTCAGCCAGGGTAGATGAGGATCTGAGACAAAGTACCCATGCGTCATGGGCTTCAATTGTTGGGATTCAAGACAATGGCGTTGGGTCTGGAGAGATGAATAGAGGCGACGATGTGTTGGGCGACATGACTCCAACGTCTTCGGACGACTGGTTGGAAGAAGATCCTGACGTAACTTTCGAGGAGTGGATGCACTTCGACGATGAGGAAATGATCGAAGATAATCGCTCAGAGATGCTAGATTGAACAACGTTCTGTAAAGCGCTTGTTGGATCTATCTTTCACCTAGAAGAACGCGTTCTGTAGTACTCGAAAGATGCCTTCGCTCGGGTGTGGTAGGTTCGTTCGTCCTACAAGATTCTGAGGAACAGCGAATGAATGCATGCATGCACAGGAAGACTGGTGAGGTACATGTCTATATACATTCTAGGTCAAATATCCACAGCGAAAGTAACCAAGCATAATCTATCGTCTCAACCCATGCGATCATCCCAAACGCATGCGACATCGCTCGTCTCGTCGCCCCGCCAGACATTTCCCGGGACATTCTTTGCCGCAACAGCAGCTCTTAGCTGTGTACCTAGATCAGGCGGGCCAGAGCCGATGACTTGGGTTCTTCCCTGTTCGACTGTCTCGCTTATGAAGGTATCGACCAGAGAAGGAACATCAGGACGCGCATTGTTTAGCCATGTGATTCTGAAGTTAGGGCACTGACGGCTCAGTTCCTCAACTCGGGGGTCGAAAGGAATGGTGTCAATAGAAGTTGCTTGAGACAGTGAATCGCTATCACCAAAATCGTTGCCTTTGTCCACAGGAGGTTGCCAAGAGGCTTGTTGATGCTGTCTTGGGTCAGGCCGAGTCACAAAGATGTTGATCCTGAAGCGCTTCTTTGCCTCAGCCGATATTATCGGCGCCTTCTCTAGCTTGTCCTCATTGTAGGGCGAATCTGCTTGGAATCCATCGAGTTGTGACTTCAGATATGCCAACTCAGAGGCAATCCATGCAAGATTCTCCAGGTGTCGCACAGTCCAGACTAATTCGATGTTGCGCGCGGGGGAAGCGTCGCTTAACGCTTTCATGATAACGGGCAGGGTGTAAGTGATTCCTGTGCCACCAGAGATGGCGAGGATGTTTGAGAAGTCGTCATTCATGATGGCGCTACCATATGGCTAAATGAAGGTATACGAAGTCAGTGTATGTCTTGCATGCAATTCTTACAGAAACACTTACGCCCATCATAATAACTGGGGTCGACGCTTCACGGCGTGGATAGCAGTTGGCGGCCGATTCAGCGAGAGCAGCGAGTTTGGCAGTTTCGCCTTTGCAAGCGCGTATGATATAAGTATGGCTCTGGATTGGGGAGGAGCTCGTAGGGTTGGATGCCGGGGTGAAAGGATGCGATTGCCAGATGTTGAGCGCAGGAAACGTGAGGTAGAAGTGTTGCCCGATTTCCCACGCTCTGTGGGGGTGAGCAAATGTCATCCTTACGACAGTCCCGGTTGGATCTCTAAATGTCTCCATGGTTGTAGGAATAGAGCGGAAGCCGAAACCAAGACCTCCATCTTTGTACCCAGTGTGTATGAGCCAGGTGCGAATTGTGCGCACCACGAGGTCGAACCCCATAATGGCCAAAGACGCGATCATCCAACATGACAGTTTCTCCCAATGGCCCCAGCAAGCCCCCAGATAAAGGCCAGCGACGACGAGATGTGATTTACGGAAGAACTCATAACCCGTCCAGCGGATTACTGGCCTGAGACTGAAGACGAATAAGAAAGTGATGAACCCTTGCGCGACACAGCCCCAGATCATGTACTTCTGACTGAACCATTCGTTGTACGTTGTTGGTTGCGGCTGGTATAGCTTTCCTTCAACAATGGTCCAGATAATGGCATGTACGAACGATTGGACAAGGATGATGCGGCCCGTCCAGCGGTGCAAGAAGTTAAAGCTCTGATATGGAATGCCGGTGAGCATACTGAGAATAGAGTCGCGGCTACAGAGGGCGATAGTCAAAGGAGTCAAAGCGAATGCAAAGGCACCAACGCGATCGGCAAAGCCGCCAATGCCGCTTCGGGTGTTGTGCAAACTTGTGCCTTTGACAGGTGTAATCCAAGTTTTGTAAGTGATACCGGCAAATCTTTTGAAAGTCAGTCGTATTGTATTTGTCATTGGAAACTTGACTCACGAGAAAGCTGTCAAATAAGCACATAGCAACGCCAAGATCAGAACCTGCAGCCTTGTAGTATATTTGAATACTTTCGAGCATTCAGGCATGAGGTGTCGGCGTATGGTAGAGGATCCCAGACTAACTAGGCGGTACAAGAGGCTCTGCTCCGCACCATCCCTTCTTTGCGGTCGAATCAGTCGAGACAAGAGCGTCAGAAGCAAGAGCGCGCCGAGTACAGCCCATAGAATGAAGGTGAAGATCATCGAGGTGTAGTGGTTGCCGTAAACGGCATCGAGATACTCGCACGATCCAGCATCGTTTGTACATGGAAAATTGCGGACCGCATAGCCCCAGTAGTCGATTGTATATTCAACATCAGAGTCGGTTTGTATGTGACGGGCGGCGAGCACGTTATCGGTCGAGTTGGAAAACATTGTAATGAGAGGACGCAGCACAGCTGCAAAGAAAGAAGAATAAGAACAGGAAAGAACGGTATGATATGGTCAAATACGCGGTGACATCGTGATGGCATAGATGAGGAGGATGTCCAGTTAATAAACTAACACTGTACCCAAATTTCGCGGGTTCCACTACGTAATTGGACCAAGCCTTGTCGTGCGGTTGGCAAGATGTGGGTTCCGCTGTCAGGTTCCTTCGAGTCGAACGTCCAATCGTATTTTTTCCGTTCCTGGCCCTGAGACAAAACGTTACCCACATACCCGTACTCATGGCACCGATTGTTTAGGAGCGCGGAACGAACACCCGGAACAACATGGAGCTGCCGATAAAAGGAAAGTCGTGGTAGACGGCTTTGGTGAAGTCGCATGAAGACCGTGATACTACGATGCGACACATGCGTCAGGCGGCTGACGGAAATATTGATGAATCTTTCGAGTGGATGCCCAATCTTGGTGAAGATAGCTAAAATATTGAGCATAGGAGCAGGCCATAAGTGGGTTTCTTCCATATCCCTTGATCGTTACAATTGCTTTGCGTAAGCACATGCCTTTGACACTTTGGCGCTTCTACCGTGCATTCGCATATCGCAGGGACCCGAATGTGCGCAATCCCATAGGAAACCCGGTGGTTGGTTCTCGGTTCGGCCACCATAGTTGTGACAGCGGCATAGTAGCGGGGCGATGCTGATGGTTTGACGATGGAAGGGAAACGTGAAACAGGCGGGAGGTGCCTGTGCCTGTGCTTCGGCTATCGGCAACGAACCGTGGCGCTACGGCTATATACGACTAAGTGTCGCGTCATCCATAATTTACATACCACGCCGCAGACACAGCTATTACACGCATCTCAACGTTGCAGTACTTTCATCTCATATAAAATCGTTACTGATATCCCGAGCTCATGTCGTGCTCACCGGCAGTATTCCTTCGCAACGTCTGTGGCTGCTCCGATGCAACGCATCAACTGCTCATACCACCATCCCTCTCTTGCCTATCAAGAGACTCTCGGTCACCTTGGCCTGCATCTCCAGGTATGGTTTCTTGCTGATCTGAGGCATCAACGCGGTGCTGCCGTCCCATCGGTCTGAGCCATAGGTGGCTCGTATCGTCATCTAGCCGCTCGAATCCATCATCGCTCACTACCCTCACACCAGCGGACTTCGATTCAGTGTTCGCAGACTTCTTCCCTGAGCCATAAGGTGTTGGTGTAGATCGGCGGAGGAGTGGATGCATCAGGGGAACACAGGCAAGAACCACGGCAAGACAGGGCTCTAGACAGCTGAAAATATTGGCTCTCGGGATTGTGAAGGTAATATCTGAAAAGTCCATACTGGACAAGACAGAGATGCGAAGGGCGCTGATGATGCACGTACTGTTCCCGTTAGACCATGGTTCGGACTGAAATCTTGCTGTAACTTACAAGATACCCAGGCCAAAAACGGTAACGAGGGCCACTCTCTTGTACATAGCCATCTGGAGGTGGTAAAGAGCGTGCATGGGTAAGAGAAGCACTATAACATCAGTGACGACGTTGATGACTCCACTGATCGTGAACGACATGACCTGGTCGCCGCAAGTTCCTCCAGGAATCGTTTTGTCCCAATTGAACGCGATAGGCCGGCAGATCAAACAGCCAGCAAGAATCGTTCCGATTGTCCAAGCAATAAGGATAGCCATGGTTATGTAGGAGCCCCAAACAACCCATCGAATTGGGAAAATAGAAACATACAGAGTAAGGATCGACATCTTGGTACAAGCGAGGCTGAGAACCCAGAGAAACTGCAAGGGTATAATGATCTGCGAGAGCTTGGTGATAGGTTCCAGGCCGTATCCTGCTACGATGTCCTTAACGTGCCCGTAGCCAATGCCAGCGTGGAAGACACCAGTGATGCTGATTGCTTGCAAGCCAACGGCGAAAATCTAGACCTGATTAGTGGTAGTCACGATTGCTAACTCTAGGCTTCTTACACAGGCAGTGATGATGAGATAGTCGGCGGGTGTCCATCTTTTGCGGGCAATCTTGTGAGCAGTCAAGCGCAAGACAACGGCGAGGACGGCAAGAAAGGAGAAAGAGAATGCCACACCTAGGACAGCCTTTTGGTCATGAGTATGGACAGGAAATGTGGCCATGTTGTGCAGACCCTCCAGAATAAGACTCTGCACTACCCGCAATCACGGGTGCGGTGTTGTGGTATAAAGGTTTTGGCGGTGGAACAAGAGGGCAATGCTGTCGACAAGGTAAGAACATGCTCAGCTGGCAATGTTTCCTTGTGAAGCTTGGTAATCCTGTAAGCGGGTCTCATATCTAGAGATGTTTGCAGTGCTAATCAAGAAAACCCTTGGCTTCTTCCCACAGGACTTCAACAAGAGCCTTGTGCGAGCTTGAAGGGCCGTTCCCTCCCCCAGTTTGGGCGCTCAATCTGACTAGTACATCACCTACACCACTAAAGGTGCGACTACAGGAGTCCCATCCGGCTAGAATCCTCTCGCATATCTTGTCAAGCGTCGTATATCTCATGCTGGTCGGATGCGCAACAGTTATCTCTTTGTGTAAAAGACCACAGATAGATCTGTGTATGTGATCCTGGTCGAATCTGCGCATTCCGCTCCCGGACCGGGAGGAAGAGACGGGCCTACTGCAAAGACGCCGGATAATGCGTGTGATGTGACATGAAGAGTCTCGCCATCCGTATCCCGAGCATGTCCATACAGGGGATTTTCTGCCCTATCTCAAATCACGAGATATCTAATGGCTGCTGATAAGTAGTCCCTAGATAGCCTAAGGTCTTCGGTATTCCCAAATTTCATTTTGGGAGCGACGGCGGTACCTGCAATGTCAGTCTAGTTGAATGTAAAGATATCCGCCATACGCGCTACCAGGGGCATTCCGCCGAGACGCTATTATCAAAACTCGATACTTTCGTTATCGCAATCTCGGATGGGCCGTGACATGGGTCACCGGGGATGTTGTTGCCGAATATTACTCTGCCTAACTTGTTCAGGATAAGGCTCTTAAAGCAGAAACTTGAGTAATGTCGTGCATGTTATCCGCCTTCTTGGGCTTTCAAGTAATTGCATCTCCCACAGCTTTCAAGGGTTGATCTTTCAGCCATGTCCAACCTTATTGCGACCGTCCTTTTGGCCGTGAGCGCCCTGGCAGCACTCTACCTCTACACCAACAACAAGAGCCAGAATGCATTCCAAAAGCCCCTCCTTAAGCTTCCCCTTATTAGTGATCTTCACAGCTCTCCGATCGAGAAACCACTGATAAACTGGAGCGCTTGGTCTAAACAACACGGGCCGATTACAGTTCCCAAGCTGTTTGGAATTGTACCCATTGTCGTACTCAATTCGTACGAGGCCGTCACTGAACTTTTCAGTCGTCGCAGTCAATGGTACAGCAACCGGCCGACTTCCGTAAGCATGGAGATGATTACGGGGGCCGCCCCAGGCTGTTCTCGATTTACGCTGATGCACGATTATGACGATCATCTCAAGCTGCATCATCGCATCCTCTCACCAAGCCTGGGTGCGCCTGCAGCGGCCAAATTCCAGCCGCTGATGGAACTCGAGGCCAAGCAACTGCTCTTTGACCTCGCTACTACCTTAAGGAAGTCCACAGACGGTTCCACAATTACTACGAAGACCATCTACCCTTTACTCGAGCGAACCCAGTCTAGCGTCATCCTTGCCCTGCATTATGGCCTCCGCATACCCAAGTTCGAAGAGCCACTTCTCCATGAGGTTATTGCCATCCAAGCGAAAGTCACTCACCTTGCCGCAAATCCTCAGCTTCCAGATCTTGTGCCCTTCCTTCGTTACTTGCCCGCCTTCATCTCCCCGTGGCAAAAATATGCTGACAAGCTCTACGCTTCTCAGGTTGATCTGTATATGCGCCTCTTTCGCCACGGTAAGGGCGCACCGGGTTGGAATGCAACAAAGCAAGCCATCACAACCGCATCAAAACACGCTCCTGTGGACTCACCAGTATCAGATCTCGACCTTGCCTTCACGCTCGCGACATCTATTCAGGGCGGGATGGAAACGTCACCGCGCCAATTACTCTGGCTCTTTGTCGCAGCTATGGAGAGTCCCGTTGTTTTGACCCGTGCGCATGAAGTTCTAGACCAGTTCGTTGGCCGCGAACGGCTTCCTAGATTCTCGGACCGGAATAACCTCGTCTACGTTGACGCTGTCGCACATGAACTGTTCCGCTGGCGGCCTATCTCTCCAGGGTCTATTCCACGGCGCGCGGACCGTACGGACGAATTCGATGGCGTGAAGATTGCCAAAGGCGTAACCACCATGGCAAACGCATGGGCCATTGGCCGCGATGAGGTGGTTTTTGACGCTTCACTTGGTGACGCACAAGATTTTGTCCCTGAGCGCTGGTTACGCAATGGAAAGCTTCGCGGCGACCTTCCACTTCCTGTGTTTGGCCAGGGTCGAAGGATTTGCCAAGGAAAGCGTGTTGCTACAGACGGAACTTTCATGAACATCGCGCATCTACTCTGGGCGTTCGATGTAGAGGCTCTAGAGGGTGAGGAGGTGGATCCGTGGGAGATGAGAGTCGTTGGCTTCATGACTGAGCCTAAGCCTTTCAAGTTCCGTCTCAAGCCTAGGGGGAAATGGGTGCTTGATGTGGTGAGTAAGGAATGGGACAGTACCGAGAAGGGTTTAGAAGAGGTGATGGGTATTTCTCATGACGTTGAGAAGTAGCATTGAAGTTCTCAAATAGAGCATAAGTAAGTATCATGTTGGGCATATGGATACTCCTAACGTGGTAGTGTCCGAGTAGCTATACAGTAGTTCAGAACAGGATGGTGGCTCTGCAAAAGAACTTGGAAGCCACCGACGGCCTATCGTTTGGGTCGTATCCTCCAGAGATACTGGCTGCCTCTTCCGTCGTTACTGTGACAGTACCAACTACAAAAAAGTCCCAGGAGCTATCTGGCGTAATTGGTAAATCTGGGGCAGACGAACTTCTTCGCAACAATGAGCTAACGACATAACATAAGACGCGACCAAAGTGCGAAGACGCCTAATAATGATGAATTTGTGTCAAAAAACAAGAGTATGATGTACACAAAGGTTAGATATACACTGGGTAGGCAGTAAAGTAATCAGCTTGTAGTGCTAATTGGGTATCGAGCGGTCGATAATAGGCGCGCTAGTGCGACGCGTTCTGAGAACCCGTTATGATTCAACTCCGACCGTCAACCTCGCATGTAAGCCTCGTGCTCAGACTTTCGTTTTGTGCCGCTGTGTTGAAACATGCAGGTGTTATCTGCTTAATAGCAGCGGGTTGTTGTTGCCGAGCGAAAGCGAATTCCAAGATTCCACGGTTCTCTAATGACGACGCCATCACGTGATGACGATCTGACGTGTGTTCGGAAACTCCGCATCTATCTCTGTATACTCTGCCCCTCTTCTGCACAATACTGTACAGTCGGCTCTAGTTGCACAGCTGAGTCGAGTTTCCTACTGCTTGGGCGCGTTCAAGGGCGCCCAGACCCACCCGCCTGGCGACACGTATGTCGAACGCGACGGCAAGGTTTCGTCAAGCGCATCAATAGCCTATCGCTGAAACAACCGGAAAAACCAACCATGGACGAGCGCAACTTCGCGGGTTGGGTAGCATCTGCAGCTCATATGCATATCCCCTGGTGATTGAAACCAGCCTCATTATTCTTTATCAAACTGCAACTTTCTACAGTCACTTTAGCCACCCCCTCGCGTGTTGTCGGAGATGTCAGAGCATCTTCATGTATGAAACAACTAGGAGCATCAAACCCTTGGGGTCGTTAACTGTATTGATAGTAGATCGCGCATTCCTCTGATAGAAGCCAGTGACCGTTGTGCTTTGTCTCGTTGACATACCCTGTTATATCAATGTCAGACCATCCATACACTGCGAGTACGCGGCGACTCACCTAAAATTCCATCCACCTCTAGCTACGCACGTGTACGCCTTTGCAGTTTACATAAAATTGCTCTCCTCGCCCATAAGTATTACCCGGGTCTTCTCCGTTATCGCAATGGTTTCCTCGTCCTCTTTAATCCGTTGTCCACCTGGACCGTTCATCACCGCTAGGCATTGCTGGACGTGCAACTCATCGCGGAAAACCATCTCTCCAATTGCATCCCAATCTACATCCTTAGGCGACCCGACCAGGACAACTGGCGCATCTGGATCCGCTCGTCCTCTGCTTGATGTGACAGCGCCCAACCGGTCACCAGCCCCAGTCTTGACGCGTGCTATGTAACGCAACCTTAGAGACTGCGGTGGATGCATCTCAAACACTTCTTTGATCAATGGTACATGCGTTTCTTCCATATAAGATCGAAAGTGCTCCGGAGTAACATCTGGACGGCGTAGATAGAAATAAATAACTGATATCGGCATGTTGTTGTTCTGGAAGGTAGGAAAAGAATCTAATCTCGGGATGCTGAGCGATCGTATCGTGGTAGACTGGAGTAAATGCGGTAGGAGAACACCGCACGCGACGAGAAAGCTAAAGTACGTTGCAGAAAGGGGGCGTCTTGGGGCATGCCTGCGTTAACAAATCACACAACAGTTCAAGCTTTTCAGGAGCTAGATGAGATCTGCTTATCATAATGGACGACGATACCCTACGAGTGGGACAACAACACACACTGACCGTGCGGAAGCCTTGCACGGATGACAAGACGAATTGGGCGACTGCGACAACGTTGCGCCCTGTTGGGGACAGTGGGTAGTGGGTCTGTGAACAACGTTTCGCGCCGGAGATGTCTCCGGCACCAGGGTCAGACTCCCATTCGCTTCTCATTGTTCTCCTTACTCTCGAATTCCCACATCTAAGTGGTGCTGCGGACAGACGTGCAGCCTCACGCAGTGCCGCAAAGTAAAGAGATGGTTCGGGAAACTTGGCAGGAAGTCGCTCTCGAGGATCAGTCCATCGTTCCTTCAGTGGCTAATTGCTTACGCGGTGCCTTGCAAGTTCCCCTTCACGTGCCCTTCGACAACCCTTGTGGAAGGTATCGTCGAAACTCTCTTTTGTGATTGCGCATGATTCAGGACGGGAAACTATTCCGATGCGCACTGCTCATGAAAACGCTCAGGTGATGGTAAAGAAGGTGCCGCGCAGACGCTACACGAGTCTTATAGCGGGAATTGGCAAGTACTTCGTGACCCTTGCACGCTCGAGTAGCCGGCTAAAAAGCAAATCGGAAATGATCAAGTCCACATCCTCCGCTGGGTACCATTTGCTTGATATGGTAGCTTCTCTGGAAGGGCTCTCAGTTGTTGATCGATGTAGTGTCTTGAGCCGTACCCCGCAGCGCGAGGGGCATCGGGCAATCTGGTACCGAACTGTCCGTCCATACAGTCCTCCACACTCCTAGCATCGCCCACGGGCCGGACCGCATATCCGAGTGCTATGATGGCGTTCTTGAATGTCTTGGGAACTACAGAAAATGACACCACCAGACGTGGCTTGAAGTCATCAATCAACTATTCTATAGGTCGTTCCAAGCATCTGTGTTCAAGGACAAAGCTAAGATGAAATTCCGCGATGGTATGAGTCTGTACGGCCCAAGTAATTTTCACTGCTTACAACTGCATAGGGATGTGGCTGGTGAACGACCGTTTCACAGTTCAACATGCGGAAGAAGTTTATACCGTCACGCCTCACGAAAACAACAAAGCGGTCACACTCTTATGTCCAAGTAGGAAGATCTTCACTAGAGGTGACACTTTGAATCTGAGCACCATCTCCATCGACATTGAGGCTCAATTTGATGGCGTTATTTCGCTCGAAGCCACGCACTTCGCTGGTGCCAGGCGTCTAGGTCCAAACTTTGATCTATATCCAGCAGGCAAACCCAACTGTACGGGTGAGATTAGCAAGACCGAGAAGGGAACTACGGTCGTTTCAGGCGGATTGAGCGCGACTGTTAGCTCTAACGAACATACGTTCGACATCAAATTCCATGCAACGGACGGGTCAAAGACGTTGACTTCACTTCTCAACCGAAGCGTCGGGCTAGCGTACTCGCCGGCCCTTAGCACACCCAAGCTTGTGGAAGATCTGAGTGCACATAAACATTATATGTTCACTCAGACTGAGTTGGGTGTTGGCGAAACTATTCACGGCCTAGGTGAACGTTTTGGTGCTTGGAACAAGATCGGTCAGAATGTCGAGGTATGGAACGAGGACGGGGGTACTTCAAGCGAGCAGGCGTACAAGAACGTGTCATTCTGGCTGAGCTCGAAGGGTTATGGTGTCTTCATCGATACACCCGACAAGATCGATATGGAGATCGGCAGCGAACGATGCTCAAGGTTGCAGACTACAGTTGAGGGACAGCGTTTGAAATGGTGAGCATCGTGAACGGCTTCGATGATTTGCTTGGCTAATTTCTAAGGTACCTTATCTACGGACCAACTCCTAAAGAAGTGCTGACCAAGTACTCCATTCTCACTGGCAGATCGAATAGAGTTCCAGCGTGGTCGTACGGTCTCTGGCTCAGCACATCGTTTACGACATCTTACGATGAGCAGACTGTCCGTCATTTCGTCGAAAAGATGTCTGACTCCAAGATACCGGTCGAAGTGTTCCATTTTGATTGCTTTTGGCTCCGTGCTTTCCACTGGTGTGACTTCATCTGGGACCCCGAAAGCTTTTCAGACCCGGCAGGTCAGATCAAGCGCATGAAGGACGACGGACTTATTAACAAAGTCAGTGTTTGGACGAATCCCTACGTTGGTCAGGCAAGCCCCGTGTTTAAGTATGCTGCCGAGAAAGGCTATCTGCTGAAGAAGACGAACGGAGATGTGTGGCAGTGGGATCTTTGGCAGACTGGCATGGGGATCGTCGACTTTACAAACCCGGAGGCTTGCGATTGGTTCCGCGAGTGCATGGAGAAACTCTTCGATGTGGGTGTGAACTCTATCAAAACGGATTTCGGCGAACGTATACCCACGAAGAACGTCCAGTGGCATGACAAAAACGTAGATCCAAGTCGTATGCACAACTACTACGCTTTCATCTACAACAAGCTGGTCTATGAGGCAGTGCAGAAACGAGAGGGTGAGCACGAAGCGATATTATTCGCGCGCACGGCTTGTGCGGGATCACAGCGCTTTCCGCTCCACTGGGGCGGTGATTGCGAATCGACACCTGCTGCACTCTCTGAATCGGTGCGCGGAGGGCTAAGTATCGGGCTTGCATCCTTCGCATTCTGGACAAGTGATATTGGTGGCTTCGAGGGAAGCCCACCACCTTGGATCTACAAGCGCTGGGTCGCCTTTGGACTGCTCAACTCCCACAGTCGACTTCACGGTTCGAACTCATACCGCGTGCCGTGGCTAGTCGACAACTCATCAGCGGAGCCTGAAAACTGCACTGAGGTCCTACGACACTGGGTGCAGCTCAAGCGCAGCCTCATGCCATACCTCTTCGCACAGGCCGAAGAAAGCGTCGCTAATGGCTGGCCTACTAGCGTTCGTGCGACAGCTCTTGAGTTTCCAGATGACCCAACATCCTGGTACGTGGATCGCCAATTCTTTGTTGGCAGTCAGATTCTAGCTGCCCCTGTCTTCGAAGAAGACGGCAGCGTTGAGTACTACCTGCCACCCGGTCGTTGGTTCAGCTTTTGGGACGGCAAAGAAGTAAAGGGTGGCAGGTGGATCAAGGAGAAGTATGGCTTCCTCCAATTGCCGTTGTTTGTCAGAG